TTAAAAAGTGAAAAGGTATAAGGAGAGGGAGAGAGAGAGAATGATATGAACACTGCGCATCAAACATAATATGGATGTAGCACATGGATTGAAGACATAGATAGAAAAGAGAGAGAATTTCTGACAACTTCACTGTTTTTTTCTCTATTCTCTCTCTTCTTTCTCTTTCTACATAAACCCTCTTTCTTCACACCCTCTCTCACAAAATCCATCACCATTACAACCGTTGTCGTCGTCATCATCATCATTTCCTTTTCCCACCTATGGAGATCCAAAAACTCATTCTCAAGTTCAGGTACCACATCCTTGATGCTCTTTTGTTGGTCTCCACCATCTTCACCATCCTCTTCTTTGCTCCAAGGTTCCTCACCGTCTTGGACTACTTTTGGCCATTATTTTTCTCCACCTCACTCTTCCTTGCTGTCATTTTCTTCTTCGTTAAGGACTCAGCGTCATACCCTACTGACAATTTTATTCTAAAACCTACCAAGGAACTCCTTAACTATGTCGTCGCTGACCACCTCCCTGAACCGCCGTTGGACAATCACAACAACACTGATTAGAGGGAGTAGCAACTCGAGCGAAAGAGAATGTCACGATGAGAATGTAACTCGTGGCTGTGTACAGATATTTTCTTCCATGTGGCAGTGAAGTATTCATCAGCTTTTGAGCATTCAGAGGCTAAAAGCAAAAATGATATGCCTCATTAATGTGCATGCCATAAGTTATACCGAACTAATGCAATCAAAGTCGCATGCTTACCATACCGGACCAGTCTTACATGCACAACTTATAGGACACTTTTGACAAACTAGAAGTCCTGCACTAAAACCATGCGAGACTTGTTTTCTTAGTGAAAAAGTGAAAGAGGTACATAGAAAGAAGAGGGAAAGAGAAATGATACTAGGCACATGACATGAGCATTTCGCATCTAATATAATATGGATGTGCACATGGGGCAGTTACCTCCTCAATTAATTTCATTTGTTGCAAATATTAAAATATCCATAGATTTTGAACCAACATGGCAACAAAAAAATAAATTAAAAGTTATTACCTTTTGAAATTTTTTCAAAAAATATTTCAGTTACGTAGTACTGGAATTTAAGGCTTATAAAAAAAATAGACAATGCCACGCAAGATATTTATTAATTAAAATCTATCATAAGATATTTATATAATTAAAATCTTAAAAGCATTGAAACATGCACATGTCATAAAAATCAAAAAATTATTTATTCATTGAATTCAGCTATAAAGAGTATAGTAACAAAATAAAAAAATAATATTAAAAAAATTAGAGAGATGAAACGAAGAGTTATATTCTTACAGTGACATTCTCTCTCCCTTGGGCTCCTACTCCCTCTAATTAGTGTTGTTGTGATTGTTCAACGGTGGTTCAGTGACGTGGTTGGCGGCGACATAGTTAAGGAGTTCCTCTATGGGTTTTAGATTGGATTCGTCGGTGGGATATGAGGGTGAGTTCTTAATGAAGAAGAAAATGAAGGCAAGGACAAGCACGATGGAGAAAAATAGTGGCCAAAAGTAGGCCAAGACGGTGAGGAAGGAAGAGAAGGCTGAAGATGACGAAATCAACAAGAGCACCAAGGATATGGTACTTGAACTTGAGAAGGTGTTTTTGGATCTCCAAGGATGGGAAAAGCGAAAAGAAATGAAGATGACAATGACGATGGTTGTAATGGTGATGGATTTGTGAGAGAGGGTGTGAAGGGTTTATGTAGAAAGAGAAAGAAGAGAAAAAGTAGAAAAAATAGTGAGGTACATTGTAAAAAATTCCCTCCTTTTCTATCTGTCTCTTCAATCTATGTGCCACGTGCATATTATATTTGATACACGATGTTTAATATCATTTTCTTTCTCTCTCTCTCTCTTCTATGTATCTCTTTCACTTTCCACTTAGTAAACAAGTCATGCTTGGTTTCAATGTAGGAATTCAAGCGTGTTAGAAGTGTCTTGTAAATTGTGCATGCGTGAATGATCAATGTGTAATTTTGACTGCATTAATAACATTGGAAAAATATTTATTCTTTTAAATGATACAAATTGTGTTATTTTACTCTTATAAAGAGATGAGACCCATACCTTTATTTTTTTTTCTACTCTCTTTCTCTCATGGTCTATTTCTTTCTCTCTCTTAAAATGACACTTTACATTCTTTACAATGAAACACATTTTTTCCCTATAACTTATGACATGCTCATTAATAAAGCTTATCTTTTTGTTTTTTCCCAAATGATCAAAAAGCCATATAAAACTCCCCCTACCATGTAAAGCTTGTTTTTTAGACAATGGATTTGAGATAATCCCCATTTTGTACATGAATAGGGGAATATGTTCAAAGTTCTATCGTTTTTTTTTTTTTTTTTTTTTTAATTTAGTTCTATGGTCTTTGATCCGATGAGGCTATGCCTCCCCGTAAAACTGTTATAAAAAAGAGAAATTATTCTTATGTTACATGAGATAAGTTTTCTCTCCTACACACCCTTCGATAACTATGCCACCTTTTTTTTTTCTTTTTTTTTTTTCAGGTTGTGGAGCTCACAAATTTGTCTCTATGACATGAGATAACTTATGACCTTTAACATGAGATTAATAAAACTCATAAAAAAACCCATACTTCTCTTCTTATTATTGGCCCTTTGATCTTTTGTCATTTCACTACCACCCTACTATACTAAAATCTCATGTTATAGGAGATTATTACCTTATGTTATAACTAGACACTTCAATAATTATATCGCCATTGTTTCTCTTCTTTTTTTTTTAAGTGATAAATTTCACTGTTTTGTGTCTTAGCACAAGATATACTCTTTCTTATAATATGAGAGTAGACAAACCCTATTAATAATGCTGATTTTATTACTTCCTTTTTTTATATTTTTTCTTTTTCATTTTTTATTACCGTTGATCTAACTATAAATAGTTATATTAAATAACACATGACACGACCTATTCCCACCCTCTTAGCACAATAACCCAAGCCTAATTTCACCAAAATTAACAAATGGCCAACAATCTGCGAAGTTCCTAGGCTCAAAGAACTTAACACACTATAAAATATGAGGTAGGATCCTTTGATACTAGTATTAAATTAAAAATTTGATACCTTATCTGAGAGTCATTAGATCAAAAAATATCAATGGTGTCACATGCTTACAAATCAGAGCCTTTGATTTTTTTTATCTAATGGCTCTCAGATGAAATGTGAAATTTCAAATTTGACATTGATGTCAAAGAATCCCACCTCATAAAATATTACTTGAATATGACCTACTAAATAGGTAAACCCAAGCACTCCCGTGGGCAAAATGTTTCACTTGTATATTTTTTGGGTTTAGTGTGTGTCATTTTAAAAGTATATAAATTGTGTCCTTTTAATGATTTACACAAAGTATGACCGGTCATACTTTGTATAAATCTGAAAAGTTACTTTTTTCACTTTACATATCTGCAATATGGTTGGGAAAAGAAAAAAAGAGTAACTTTTCAGATTTACACAAAGTATGACCAGTCATACTTTGTGTAAATCACCTAAAGGCTAAAAAGACACAAGCTTGTGTCATTTAGAATGATACTTCCTTTTACCATATTTTTTTATAGATTAATCACAGATATCCTCATTTGTATATTTTGACTTAGCGGTTTCACTTATAAATTAGTTAGTGTGTTTTTGCAAGTATACTACCCCCTCAGTGATCCTAGGATTACAATGAGATCTAAACTTAAACTTGCTTGAAGCCAATGTGTAGGAAGATTAAGTCATTGTTAGAGAAAATAAAATGAGCTCAAATTAAACAGAACCGTTAATACAAAATTATAGATAAAATTAAGAATGAGATCGCGAATAAAATTTAAAAAAGTAATTGGATAGCCATTTGTTGCATTCAATGAGTTACACTTAATTAATATTAAATACTTCGGCATAAAAGAGTCGCTATTAAATTAAGACCAATTAGAAATAAATTAGTACATGTTAGAAGAAGTTTATGGAAAAAAATATATGTGATCCAAGATTTGTAAGTTTTATTTTTTATAATTAAATTTTATCTAAGTTTACCAAATTTAAAAAAAAAAATTGCACATCGCAGACAATATTTACTATAATATTTTACTAAATTCACCAATCGAATGAGTAAGAGAATTCAATTATGGAGAGGCATTACGTACGTCACATTCGTTGAACTTTTGTATCTGCCGACTCAGATAAACAACGTACTCATTTTTCAGACATGGCTTCCAATGAACGTAAGGTAGAAACTTGATCGATTAATTTTAATATTCTGAAAGTGATAAACCGTGATGTTTTGCCATATAATAGCATTGGTTTGAATAAGATTTCAGTATTTATATTTTTCATTAATTTTAATTCTGATCCTTAGTATATTATGTTGAATTTCAATACATTTAATTTTTATTCTTTATCAAAAAATATGAATTCTTAATTTTTTATTTCAATTTTAGTCACTATTAAAAGAAAATTTATTAGATAAAAAATAATCTTTGTAATTTAATTTATTAAGATATTAAATTTCAAGAAAATTAAAAATTATAAAAAAAAATAACATACGTTTGTATTCTTTTATAAAAAAAAAAATTAAATGAGGAAAAGTTGTAATGATAAAAGTCTACCTTACCCCATTAAAAATAAAAATAAAAATAATCATGAAACCTGTTCTTTGGACAAAGAGGCAAACTTTGCTGTTTTTTATGACAATGAAATGGAATGCAACGCATGAACGCAACCTGGGGTTTTGTCATGTCCACGTCATCAACTAACCATTACAAACAAAAACCCGTAATTCCAAAACTAACCTCGGCAGCATGTTATGTAATATGTATTCTCTTCTCGCCACCATATATTCAAAAACCAAACCACAACACAATAACCTCAGAGAGCAAAAGTTGTTTTTTGTTCTCTCTCTGTGAAGCTTTCGTTTTCAGCACATCGTATTCCATTGTCTTTCATAGGTTCTTTTTCCATGGAGAGGGTTGTCGGAAGAAAGTATAAGATTGGTCGGAAAATTGGGAGTGGATCATTTGGTGAAATTCATATTGGTCGGAAACTTCTAGTTTTTTTTTCAAACTTTTTTTTTTTAAATTTTATTATTGTTTACCATCTGTTTGTTTTATTGCCATTTCCAGGGTCGCATATGGAGACCTCTGAGATTGTGGCCGTCAAGATGGTGAGTCTTAATGTTACGCTATCTTTCTTACTTACTAGCTTGAGTGATTGTGCTATTTACAGAAAACTAGAGATGCAAATTCATAGTATGACCATAACTCGTTTATATTTAAGTAAAATGCATTGTTTTAAACCATATTTATCTTATATCTACTTAGCTGCATATTTAAGTAAAGGGTTTTTTTTCTTTCCTGGTAACATTTTGCAGTTGGGTGCTTACATGAATTAGATGACAAGTGTTTGAATTAGCATTGTACTTAATATATAATAAAATAAAAACTTGTCTCAAAATTTATTAAGTATGACTATATTTCCCAAGAGGTTTCACTTTTTCCTATTTTTATAGCTTTGTAATTCAAATATTTAAGAACTATGGATATGAACTAGTAGTGATTTATAGCATACATATTTCTTGTTTTATAGGAGAACAGGACAACCAAACATCCGCAACTACTGTTTGAGGCCAAGTTATATAATATTCTTCGAGGAGGAAGTAAGTTATAACAGAAGCACTTTTGTATGTTGAATCTAAATGCCCTCACAACATTTTCCATGTATTTTGTCAATCGTTTCTGATTTCTTGTAGTCATGGATTTTAAGGTGGTATTCCAAGTATGAAATGGTTTGGTACTGAGGGAGACAATAATGTTCTAGTTCTTGAACTTCTGGGACCGAGTCTTGAAGACCTTTTCTTCTTCTGTGGGAAGAAATTTTCACTAAAAGCAGTTTTGATGTTGGCTGATCAGATGGTAATAATTGATTCATTTTAGAACTGGTTGCTTAGTTTTCCATGAAGACAGCCTTGCTTACGTTTTTGCTACTTAGCATCTGGATGTGATCATGTTTTCTGCATGCTATTGTAACAATTTTGTCTCTTAACATTTCCCTTTTTTACTTAAAGCTTCCATCATTGGGAGTTTTCAAACACATGAATAGAAAATCAATTCTGTTTTATTTACTTGGCTACAGCTTACGAGGATAGAGCTTTTGCATTCCAAGGGATTTTTGCATAGAGACATCAAACCAGATAACTTCCTTATGGGTCTTGGGAGGAAAGCAAACCAGGTAGCTTCATTAGCATTCATTCTCTTTAATGGCTTACTTATGAGGATAATTTTCCCATGTGGTAATTTCTTTACGCTTCCAATTTTTTATATATGATTTCTGCAATCTGTTACACTTACAGGTTTATATGATTGATTTTGGACTTGCCAAAGAATATATGGACCCTAACACAAACAAGCATATCCCTTACAGGTATAAGTTTTTCTGTCCGGCTATATTATTTTTGTTTGACCTCTTCATGTTATGGATTATAATTTATGTGGTCTGTGTATTGTAAGGTTTACTAGTCACTCAAACCTAATTAACTACTTTTCCAATATGTGAGATACATTGTTTTAATTTTTTATAGTAATTGGTGTGAAATCTTTCTGCTGCTGGTTATTTCTCTTCAGGAAAAAACAGAAATGTTAATGTAACATCCCCGTCTCGAGCCGGTTCAATTAACATACATATGATAAAACAGAAAACAGCGGAAGACTTAACTTACGAAAATACGAGTTAACTTTTTCTTTTTCTACTTTAACTCTTACTCGGGGTAAACGAAAATCGGGCAGAGTTTCCTCTATAAATCGGACAACTGGGGATTTTCCAATCCCACTCAGAAGCATTTCCTGATAAACAGTTTATACAGCATAGTAATCCAGAAGTACCAGTCATGCAGATACCATCAGATACCCATCCATGGGCGCATGCAAAATATGGCTCCGTGCCACTATCCTAATCAACATGCAATCCAATACAAAATCATAAACTGAATAATACATCATCATATAACGTGCCTGAATACCCAAATGTACATGCATCCAAGTGACAGACATGTACAAAACATATACAGGCCATATACAAAATAAAGGATCAATATCGTGATCCATCAAATGCGGAAATACTAAAAGACATCAAACACTCCAAAAGGTAGTAGCCTACAGCCACTCAAAATCCGATCTGTCAACTGCCTCAGCCACGTGTCGTGTCCCTGCCTAGTGAGGACTCACCGGGAATCTGGGCACCTGAAAATATGTCCCCAAAGAGGGGTGAGATTACAAATCTCAATAAGCTCCAGGTTTATAGAGAATTCTCCATACCCCTGGCTCACTCCTGCACGAAAGTCAGATACAGAGTATACGAATACAACATATAACAGATATCATAACAGAACATAGGATTTATCCATATCATATCAGAGGTGTGCGTCGTCATTCCCAAGGGAGGACCCCAAGCGGAAATCAACGCACGTGTTCCCGAGGGAGGACCCCAAAGCGGAACCAGACATATCAGAGGCGTACACCATCCGTCCCGAGGGAGGACCCCAAAGCGGACATCCGGGTACTATACAATCAATGGCCAGAGATTGTTACAGAAATCATATTACAGAAGTCATATCAGAGCAAAACATATCATGTTATCAAATAACTCTATATGAATGCATCTAAACAAAGCATCTAAATCACAGTCATACAGTCCAATCATAGTTCACTAACCATGGTGGAGCACTCAAGCAGGAAAAGACTCCTTAAACATAGAGCTTACCTCTTGAAGCTTTACCAATACGCTTACTTGTGGAACAAGTTACTTTTATCGCTTCAAGAGATTTCCGATCCTTCTCAATCCCTAGGCACACCTAGAGAATAATTTACAATGCATCAATAAAATGATGCAATACCATGATTATTTCATAAGCATACATTTTATCGCTTATTTTCCTTTCTTTATATTTTTGCCAATTCTATGCCAATACACAAGTCTAGACCTCTATACACCCGTTGGCGTTCTTTAATTTAATCAAGCATTTACTTAAGAATTTTTCACATAAATCATGCTATTTTTCTTTAAAAGTCGCGGCATATCCTTAGGGACTCAAGGTATTTTTCAACCATTTGTCAAAGCATTTCACTTCTTAGCTCATCCATTGGTATATTAAAATGCAACACATTTTATTAGAATAAAATGTAACCAATATATATATACCCCTAAACATCCTATAGTTCGAAACATAGAGCAAGTATTTGTAGGATTTTTTTCCAACTTTGACATTTCCACCAATTCATCCATTTACACTACATTCCAACAAATTTTACCTTTTCAAACATACAATAAAATTTTGCATGATGAACCCTACATAACCCATGAAGGCCGAAACCTAGGGGAAAGGTGCACAAGGGCTTTTCAATTTTTTTATCACAAGTTGATGCTTACTAACACTATCCTTCCTAACCAACAACAATCCATCATAATTTTCACCTACTTGCACACATAAAACCCCTCTCAAATACATCAATTATAATTTGCACAATAACTCTTATTACCCTATCAAGGCCGAACATAAGGAGGGAAAACATATGATTTTTCTCTACTTTTAACATGCATTAAAATGCTCCTTTTCATTACTTACATCCAAGGTACCAAGGATTCATCAACAAATCAATTTTTAACTCATAATACTCTCCCATCAAAACATATCTATCAATTTGTAACTTAAAATAATCAAGACAACATCATGAGAATAGAGGTTTGTTACCTCCAACAACTACCCCAAAGCCTAGAAGTCCTTTACCAAAAGGATCTCCACCAAAAACTTCATTTTTGCCCTCTTGATGAATAGTGCACGAATTTGAAGGAGACGATAACTCTTCACACACTCAACAAAACCTCAAATTGATGGTTGGAATGGGTTCATTGGGTGTTTTACAAGCAATTTCACGTGGTGGGTCTTTGAATTTGGAGTAGAAATGATGGAGAATCAAGGAGAAGAAATTCAAAACCCTACCCCCCTTCTCCAATGGTGCAGCTCGGTTTTGAGAGGGTGAGAGGAGAGAGAAACTGATTTGGGATAATGAGACTAAGTCACTTATAAGGCTAGCACATGTGGCCTTTTTTAATAGATATTTTTCTATCGCGTATTTTAACTTAAATTGACCCGGAACTAACTTAAAACTACGAACATATTTTTATTTTTCTAAAATCATTTACATTAATTTTTATTTGTTACAAAACAATATTCATAATTCACAGTATGGTTTCTGCACCGTTTTTGACGAAATGCACTGTGAATCACTAACTGTACTTCGCTCACTTCTGAACTTAGAACTTATAAACTTATTATTTTCTTGGGCTTATATTGACTTGCTTGGCATATATTGGACTTTCTTATTCTTATTTCATCAAGTATTTATTTCTGGACTCTACCGGTTGCTTAAACAGCAGTACAAAATACCCGGTAGAAACACTATTCACGAGATTTTCACGGAAAGTGTCAGACTGTACAATTTTTCGTTCTGAACTCATATTTGTCTTCAGAATTATCAAATTATGTCTCTAAAATTATTTTGCTATTTTTAAGCTCTACCGGTTAATTCACAAAACTGTAAATTCTCCGGCAGAACGCACTGTTCATAACATAGTCATGATTACAGTCAAAATACTCGGAATCACTCACTAAATCTAATTATGGCATTTAAATCCTTAGATTAAATCTCTAATTAAGATTTACCATTTAGGGTCATTATATTCACCCCACCTTTTAAGGATTTTTCCCACAAAATCAAATACGAAATATTACACATACCTGACGTCAAACTCAGGATACCGCTGGAGAATTTCATTCTCCCGCTCCCAAGTGGCGTCCCCAGGAGTCAATCCTTCCCATTGTACCTTGATCATGGGAATAGTCCTGTTTCTCAACACTTTTTCATCACGTGCTAGAACCTTAAACGGTCCCACAACAAACTTCAAGTCTTTTCTTACTTCGATATTGTCCGGCTGTACAATGTGGGATTCATCCGGCACGTATTTTCGAAGTTGACTGATGTGAAAAACACTATGCAAATTTGACAGATGTGGAGGTAAGGCAAGCTGATAAGCCACAGGTCCGACCCTTTTCATAATCTGGTAGGGCCCAATGAACCTAGGACTCAACTTCCTCACTCCTAGAGCACGCCCAACACCCGTAGTCGGAGACAAACGGATAAATACATGATCCCCTTGTGAAAATTCAAGGGGTCGGTGTTTTGCATCATAATAACTCTTTTGGCGGCTCTGCGCTTTCTTTAATCGATCCTTAATCATCATAATTTGATCGGTAGTCTCTTGGACCATATCAGGCCCAAATAACTGCCTCTCACCAATTTCTGACCAACAAGTAGGCGCCCTGCACCTACGGCCATACAAAGCTTCATAGGGAGCCATGCCCAAACTGGCATGATAACTATTATTGTAGGAAAATTCCACCAGAGGAAGATATTTATCCCATGCATTTCCCTGCTCTAAGGCACAAGCCCTCAACATGTCCTCCAGGGTCTGAATAGTCCTCTCAGTCTGACCATCAGTCTGGGGATGATAAGCCGTGCTCAGCCTCAACTGTGTACCGAAGGCCTGTTGCACTGCATCCCAAAGTCTAGAAGTAAATTTAGGGTCCCGATCACTAATGATACTTTCAGGAACACCATGAAGTTTCACAATCTCTCTTACATATATCCGAGCCAACTGCTCTGTGGAGAAACTCGTTTTAACTGGTATGAAATGTGCAGACTTTGTCAATCTGTCAACAACTACCCAGATAGAATCAAAACCAGCCTGAGTTCTCGGTAATGCCACTACAAAATCCATAGAAATACTGACCCATTTCCATTCCGGAATATCCAAGGGCTGCAGTAATCCAGAAGGTCTCTGATGTTCAATCTTAACTTTCTGACATGTCAAACACTTACTCACAAATAGAGCAATGTCTTTCTTCATTCCCGACCACCAGAAATTTTGTTTCAAGTCTTGGTACATCTTGGTAGCACCAGGATGGATAGTGTACTTACCCATGTGACCCTCAGTCAATACCTCATCTACCATCTGACCTTTTGGAACAATTATCCGATCCTTGTAAAACTTAAGACCGAACCTATCAGTGGACACAAAGTCCTGCTCTTTCATAGACTGAATCTCTTCATCAAGCAATTGAGCTTCTTTAATCCGCTCAACTAATGAATTCAGGACTACCGTAGTAGTCAATAAATGCGGACTATCTTCTATATTCACAGGAATGTGGAGATCCCTGAATTTCTCAATCAAATTATACTCGGAAATCATCAAATTGGCCATACCAAGCGCCTTTCTGCTTAAAGCATCAACTACTACATTGGCTTTACCAGGGTGATATTGCAATTCAAAATCATAATCCTTCAGAAATTCCACCCAACGGCGTTGCCTCATATTTAGCTCCTTCTGATCAAACAGATACTTTAAACTTTTGTGGTCACTGTAGACAATAAAATCGGCCCCGTATAGAAAGTGTCGCCAGATTTTCAATGCGAACACTACGGCTGCCAACTCAAGATCATGTGTCGGATAATTCTCCTCATGCGGTTTCAACTGCCGAGAAGCATAAGCGACCACCTGACGGAACTGCATTAACACACAGCCTAACCCAAACTTAGAAGCATCACAATACACCACAAACTTACT